TGGCGAATTTACATGTTGTTTATTGATCTTTTTGAAACTCGTAACACTTGTTCAGTTGTCGACAATGTTAGAGCACTTCCGCTGGCGCTCGCAGAGGCACTGCCCTAGATACTATTCGCCAGACCGCAGGATAGAGATCATACCCAAAAGTTTTGCCAGGTTTTACCAACGACCTGTGGTCTCTGACACAATCTTCTCAGACTCCATTCTAGAGTCCACCTTTTCATAAACATTATAAACTCTTATTAGTTTTTTCTGTATACGTATATATGTATATATATACATGCTTTTCAGTTGCGCAACATTATTTCTTTAAACATCCACCTAGTTAGTTAAAGAAATGTTCAAATGAGAAGACGTTTGCACAATTAAACAGGTCAAACGATTTTATTATGTTCGACCTTAATTGTGCTAGTCTTCTCATCTAAACATTCGGCCCCACCCACCCTAACGTGCAAGAACAGCCCTCCCAAATATTGTTGCATGCTCACTTTAAATTTAATGAAGCACAGCGCCAACTTTTCAAAATTTGTGCATGGAAGTAGTATCGGTGCAGTACTACCTAGTTAGATAAAGAAATGTTCAGATGAGAAGACTGGCACAATTAAGGTCGAATATCATAAAATCGTTTGACCCGGTTAATTATATATTATTATTAATTGTTTATAAACCGTTTTATTTAGTGTTTGTAATTGGGTTACGTGCATAACGACTATGGACTTCTTAGAGAACTGGAGCTCGGTTCGCGTTAGTTCGATCCCATCATCCTTGTCGGTTTTTTTTTTCTAGCACATTGAATTTGCTTGAATATTTGTCTTTAGGTGCGAGGGAAGTTCTGTCTAAATGTCTCTAAACTAATTTTTTCTAAACGTAGTAATTCGTCCTATGACTTTCTTGACACTGTTGGCTATTTTTTTCATTGCTTAAGTGTCTTTTTAAAGTTACTTTTGTCACTGTAAATCTTCTTTGATACTCATTAAGCCCGACGTCACGAGAACGATAAGCTTCAACAGCCATTTCAAGGTCTTGGCGAGTCCAAAACACCCGTACTTTCCTCTTTTGGACATTCTGGAAATGAACAATATCTCTAATTACTTAGATTGGGCTGGTCCAATTTGATACGCAAAACGGGATTCAAATCATGCACCCTTATAAATTCTGTCCGTCTAACCTCTACTTTTCCTCTCAGTACTTAGCACGTTTATGTACTGTGACGTCCTTCTCGAAGGACGCCCACGGCCAGACCAACTCTTTTGCTGGTGCGGGGTGGTGGGTCGATCAAATGTCGAACCTGGTGTTTCTTAGGGCGCTAGTATGCCTCAAGAGGGCATACTTAAAAAAAGACGACAGGAAAGCAGAGAAAGAAAGAAGAGTAGAAGAAAGAAATGAAAGGGAAGAAAAAGAAAAAGTAACGAATACCCGAGCAGGACTAACGAATATAGGAGTATAATAAAACCAAAATTCTGTATGTACAAGATAAATAAAGGAATGTAAATTGTGTTGACGGACGGCAGCAGATTTATTTTTAATTTAAGTTTCAACAGACTAAATGGTTGAGATTAAGCTACACTTACAGTATCATTTGTCGAGTAGACATTAGTTTCAAATTAGATGTCCTGAAAATGTATATCATAAATTAATCAAATATTCTGATATTCGTCAACGACCACATGCAACAGTAACTTTTATATTTTTATACCCAGACATCGAAGCTCTTTTAGTTATCACTTACCAGCAGAGAGCGAATTTCCGTCGGGCTACATTACGATTATAGGTGCAGACGCGTGGATCGCGGGGAATCAGTAGCGGGTGATAATCAGTGAATTTAATCGTCACTTGTTCCATAAATAAAATTAACGAAAACTTAATTAGTAAAACGGCTAGGTAAATGAGAACGAGATAGCATTAGAGTGCAACGAAGCACTGCACTGAATTCCATTCCGCACGAGCCGTACCGAATTTGACCTTCTTCGGCCCAACGGATATTCGGCGGCCTACATATCAGTCATCCAAACTATATAATAGTCTACCATTACTGAGTCGTCGCTTAACCCTATTGTACATTCAAAAACAATTTGAAGACTGTTTGCACTGCACTTAAACAACTTATCTAAGTTAAATAATTTGTTTACTACGGTTACGTATTTACTTTGCAAATGCACCTACAAGTAACTGGAATTAAGAAATTTAGATCGTTTGGCAAACAACTATTCAATTATTTAAATTTACCAAATCCTGAAAAATATACGGGTCACTGCCTGCGAAGATCTTCAATATTTACTTATGGAGGAGCAAATATCGTGGATTTAAAAATGCATGGGGATGGAAATCCAGCGCTGTGGCTAAAGCCTATGTTGAAAGGTTATTAACAAATAAAATAAATGTACAAATCTTCTACATTAATTCGTACCAGTTGTTCTTCGGGTAAAACGCGATCGTAAGAATCAAGACCTAATTCCAAAGGCGGAATATCAAATGTTAACGACGTCACATCAAAACTGTGTATAGTCATTTTTGTTAAAATTTTATAAAATAACATACTTGTACTCGCGGTTTATTAATCCGGCATGTGTTTTTCTCGAGGTATACAGGTTTTTACCTTGGACCAGTTTGTTCTATTTCTAATACTTAATGAGATGTCGAGAACCACGCACCTAGTGAATCATTCTGTATATAAAATTGGATACAAAAAAGCCAAGTAACTGATTGATGCAAGAAAAACTGCAACTGTTTTTAAAGCGTCTTACATTTACTGTAGCTCCGAGAAATAATTATGTTGAAAATATTTTTGCAACACTTCAACTTTTGTAAAAAAATTAAAAGTAGCAATTCGTTCAATGAACTCGATTATTATACTTTCTTAGCTTACGCTCAGGAAGTAAAAAACAATGTTTGCTATTCTTAGAGTAGTCATTTCGAGGTACTTTTAACATCTTAAGTTACTTAAGTAAATCTGTCATATGAAGCTTTACCAACGATTCTTATATTTTAATCCTATCTTACTTTTATCAGACTACAACCATAGAGTATTTATACATTAGCTCAAATTGTACATTTTATTATTATGATATTATTAAAATCCACCACTGGCTCGGAAATAACCGGTGTACAGACCAGATTTCTATCGTCATCGTCATCATCATTATTATTATTACCGCCGCTCGTGTCAAGAACACTTAGGTGGATATCACAAAGCAGGGAACTCCTATTAAAAAAATAATTCATTTCCCGAAAGTAGCTCAATATGGGACACCAAAGTAATAGTTGCTAGGAAATATACGTTCCTTTGTAACCATAAAATTAGTTTTTTTCACTAGCAGCCTGGACGCATGCAAATGTCGACTCATTTAGTGGTAGCAAATTCAACTTTTGCTACCACGGGTTCAAAAAGAAAAATTGAGGTTATGTACGAAATGTTTGATGTGATTATTTCTTAAAAAATGAACAAATGTGTGCTACAAAGATTACTTGAGTATACGCATGGTAGTTGGTAGACGGTGGAAGATAAAATGATTAACTCAGCGACAAGTATAAACGGTTTTCTTTGTGTTGAAGATTTAGATCAAGTTTGATTAGAAATCAAAACAAAATCATGTTGCGTCAAAAAATTGAACGTTTATTTTTCAGTTTATTGTCTTATGGTTTCTACTAGTGAAAAAAATAGTATATTAACCACGGTTGCAAAGCCACTTCTAGACCTCGCACTTAGAGCCCTCGACGCTGCGCGTCTCGGGTTCTAATTTGCGCTCGGTCTAGAATGCTTGGCTCTGCAACCTTGGCTAATAATATACTATTTATGCTTTTTCAACAAAGAAAAAACTGTTACAGATATTTTCCAATAGAAATGTTCACGGGTTACAATTGACTACACAATAAGCTATTTAACCTATCCGTTTTCCCTACTGTTTTCATTCAATTTCTTTCATAGTTAATTTTCTAATAGCCGAAAGAAGTACTCATGCTATAATAGGCATTTCATTTGTGCTTCATAGACCATCAAAAATGAAATGCAAATTTGGTGTCTGTTTTTTTTCGCCGGTCTGCTACATATAACTTTGAAAGATAATTTACAAAACCTTCAAATCGATAGATTCTACGACTGCTATTTTGGTCTATTTTGGGTTATCATTATCACATAAACGATAAATTACAAACAATATAAAATCACAATCACAATCTGTACGATCCTCTCAAAAGACTGACGAAGGCACTTCCAAATTTTGCATAATAAATTTCTGAATTTTCAAGTGAAATTTGGTCAGTACAAACTCAAAAATATACCTAACTGTAAGATAATATTTTATTTAAATTATCTTCAAGTTACTAAAAGTCTGCATTTACAATCTAATACTGCGCTAACACAAAACTATTACTTTATTTATACTGTTGTACCAAAAAAAACCTCACAATTTTTTTCTTGCGTGTATAACCAACACAGAATTAGTTAGATTGGTAGAAGCAAGGGGAGTTTGGTATAAATAAATTTATATATTTAATACAAATTTGATAACATTGTGTTAAATCATTTGTATAAATTTTTTTAATAAATATAACAAAGAAAATATTGTTTCGACAGGTCAACGTTTTATGAAGAAATGGTTAATTTTAGTTAGGAATTTATGATAAACTAAACAGTGAAAATTATAAAAAATTCATTAGTTTGTGGAAAAGTTATAGGAGTATTATAATTTTAATATTTAATTTAGTATAAGGTATTTTCCAAGATTCATTTTAGTTGTTGACCTTTTCCATGTTATTATTTAATTTCTCTTATTAAAACTGTAATCTAATTAATTAACTTATTAATTTAATAGAATGCTGGCCTTGTGACGTTACTCATCACGAAATAAACAACAAATATTTGTCCTTATTGTTGACGCTTTTAGTTCATCTTAACATAACTGTATTCTATAATATAAACTTTGCAGTTACTAACTGCTATTACAATAATTTGAATGAGCATACCGAGGGGCTTATAAGGTCGTTAAAATATTACACAATTGTTTTAAGATATTTATTTAATATGTAAAACAATTTGTTTTATAAGAGTTGTGAAATAGACAAAATTGTGTCTAGTCTCCCAATTCAAATTATTAGACCTTTGCAACAGGGGCAGTTGCACGTGCGGGAGCTGCAGTAGTGTCAGTATTGGCGCCAGCAAGAATTGCGTTCAGAAGTTCTTCAACAATAGGGCTAACAATATTTGAAATTGCCTCTTGATGGTTATCAATCAGAGATGTCACTGCATCATTCAATAATTCGCTGAGAATAGCACTAAAGTCTTCGTTGTCAAGAGCACCATGAATATCAAACTGAAAATAAAATATGCATCAAATATTAACACAGTTTATTTAGGTTAGATAAACTTACGGTAGATGCTCCTAGGTACACTTGAATGCGAAGACCGCTGACAGAAATTCCTCCACTAAGCGACGCTTGAGCACTGCCTACAATTTCAAGATCTTCCAAATGGATGCTGCGTTAAAAAATAGATTATTTTATCTCATTCTGTTTGAAAATTTCTACTAAATCTTACTTTGCTTTACCGTCGCCATAAATGGGCACCAAATCCAGCAGAACAAGATCGCCCCAGTAGTCAGTGTTTATATTAAGAGATGGGAGAACGAAAGTGAAGTTAAGTCGCATTCCAACAAGAGTAAAACTCAAAGCTGGTACTTGAAAAGCTTTGACTCCTGATATTTCAAGATTAGACAAATCTGCACTTCCTCTGAAATTACATTCAGAATTTACTTTTTTCATTCTAGTGTTTCGATCTTTAACTTACGTAAGTATGTCAATATCTTCTGGGACCGTGATTGTCAGATTTTCAATGACTATAGGTTCCGGCAGGTCATCTCTGATACCCTCAATGGTTTCGTTGATTAGTCCTTCAAAAGCGTAGGGGTCCTTGTTAGAGTCTGCAAAACACGTATTTAATACACAATAATAGGTTGTGGTGTAGACAAGCCAGTTTAGATTTACCGTAAATTTGATTTGATGCAATCACTGCTCCTCCGAGGAGGGCAAAAAAGGCACAAACTAGAAACCGCAGCATAATTATATCTTGAGTTCTCGTTCTGCTACAACACGCGAGTTTCTAAACGGACACTGCAACAAGCAAAAACCTTGTGAAGTTTTCCAAACAATATGTATTATTATATACTTTAAGTACTCTTATTGACCTTTAAAAAAATAAAGTGTCGATAAGATGAAGATTATTTTGTTTACCAATCGACACCTGGGTTTCAACAAGAAAATACTTTTACACATTATTCTGTTTATTGACCGTTTTATCTTTTCTCATTGTTCGTTACTATTTTTATATTAAAAGTACTTTTGAAATACCGACTGTAGATATCCACTTGGTAAAAAATTAAAATGCTTTGTTGCAACATTCATTTGAATTAGGCGTTTTAAAATTTTATTGCAAAAAAAATGTTTCCCTTTGAGGTAATTTTGAACTTATTTTAGAGTCTCATTTAGAGGATAGCACTGGATTTTGCTTTGTTTTTTATTATACATTACTCAACTCTCTTTATTCTTTTTTTATTTTATTGCTTTAGAAATAAATATATTAGATTTACAGAACAGTAATTTCAGCTTGCTTTTTAGATCACTATATAGATTTTGCGTCATCATGATTCAACAATTTTTTAATTTTGTCTAAGTTAAATATTTCTTCGTGGTCTCTGTGCCTTAACAACGAAATTAAATGTAGTTGTGTTAAAAATTCATGTTTTCGCGTCGGAGCACGATATTTTTAAAATTTTCAGTAACAAACAGCCTGTTTTAAATCGTTTGAAACCATCAAAATTGTCTAAAAATTCATCGTTGTTGGCCTCTACTAATTGATTCTTATCCAACAGACAAATAGCTTCGTTCATAATCTTCACAATTTGTTTTGTGGAGCTTCGATATTTCTTAAATCCTGCTTTATGCTTCGGGTTACTGAGAAGATTTTGAAGCTCGACTCTTGAAGCGTAAGCCGTTTTCTATCCTTTGGAGTTTGAAGTGTCCAAAAGTGTCACCTGTGCCTTATCTTTTTGCAAATTAGACAATTTTTTCAATTTATATTTTTAAACTTATTAATAATCTTATCTACAAATACCTGTGTCAAAACTTTTGCACCTGGCGACAACTTTAATAATTTTGAGCTACGTCATACATTTTGTCCAGTTAGAACTAGGCAAAGATTTTATTTATCATTAAGTAAGAAATATTAATTGTTCCGTTAGTAGATCTCCAGTTCCGCTTGTTGCAGAAGATGATTATCATCCTGCCCTCGACATCGAGTTCTTTATTCTTAGAAGTGAATGTAAAACATCTCGCACTGCCATTGATACAGGATACAACTTTCGCAGATGTAATTTCTACCTTTTATATGTTAATAATAATAATAATAACGTTTATTATTCCCAACAGACAGTTGTCCAAACTGGGACAAAAAATTTACATATAATATAAACATGATTAGTGCTTATACATTACTACAAATTAACATAGAATAATATAAACATAATTACACAATACTACACAATAACATTTGTTTTTGGTGTATACGTATTTAATAATATTTGTTTCATTGACTTACTTTTAAAATTGTCACTAAAAATATCAATATTTAAATGGTGCATTATACAGTTATATAGCCTTAAGCAAGCTATAAGACAGCGGTTGAAATGATAATAAGTATTTGGTATACTATAATAAAACATAATCGGATTTCTGCAGTTGAACATAAATGTGGATTTCATTAAACAAGTCATCACATTTAATGGTATTATTGATAATGTTTTGCAAAAATATAAGTCGACTTACATTCCTTCTTGCTGCCAAAGGTTTTCCATTAACTACATTTAATAGTATATTTTGTTCAATATGCCTTTGAGGATAAACACCAAACATTTTGAAGTATAGGAACTTACAAAACTTGCGCTGGACGTTTTCAATTAGTGACATATAGGTTTGTTGGTATGGGCACCAAACGATATTGCAATACTCTAACTTCGACCGTACCAAACTGTAATTGAGTAAGCGAATACTGAAGATGTCTTTAAAATCAACCGTATTTCTGATTACAAAACCCAGTACTTTCATGGCATTATTGCAAATATACTCGATATGATTGGCGAAAGACAGTGTATTATCCACAACTATACCTAAGTCTGAAAACTTCTCACAACGTTCAAGAATGAAACCCTTCATGTTATAATAATAATTGATTAAGCTCTCTTTCCGTGTAAGTGACATAATTTTGCACTTTTTATAATTAATATCAAATTTGTTTAACTTACAATATTCTATAAACCTATCAATGTTGCCTTGTAATTATACAGTCTGCAGGTGTACGAATTATCTTAACTAATTTTAAATCATCTGCGTATATACATAATTTACACTTGATATAGGTGATAATATCATTAAAAAAGATTATAAACAACAAAGGCCCCAAGTTCGAGCTTTGAGCAACTCCAGTGTTTACATAAAATATCTGTGATCTATACCCATTATACTCAACATACTGCTGCCTACAAGTTAACAAAGATCTTATAAGTAATGCTAAACTATCACATATTCCAAATTTTTCTAATTTGCTAAACAAGATACAGTGGTTGACCTTGTCAGGTCAGTGTAGACCACATCCACCTGTAATCTCTGATCTAAAGCCTGAGATACAAAGTTTGTAAATGAACATAAATTAGTTGTGGTTGATTTTCCTCGCATAAATCCGTGTTTAGGAATTATGTACTTAGCAATGTACAAGTACAATCTCTCAGATAATATAGACTGAAATAATTTTGCAAAGTTATTAAGTAGTGTTATAGGCCTATAGTTTTTCAAATCAGATTTATCACCAGATTTAGGCACAGGCATAATGCGAGATATTTTCCAGTGGTGTGGGTTTACACGATTTCTCAAAATGAGATTAAAGACATTTAGTAAAGGTATCATGAAACAGCTAATGCAATCCGCAACAATAAAAGCAGGTATGTTGTCAAGTCCACATACATAGTTGGGTTTTATCTTCTTTGCCACCTTTAGTAAATCACTATCACATACACAAAATGTTGGTAAAAAATCAGAAATAACACAGCCTTGATCATTAGAATTATCACAGATTTATCACTAATTACAGATGGACAGCAAACTTTATCACAAAATTTACAGAAACCCAGATAAATATCACAAGAATTATCACAGAAATGGTCATTGCTATAATTAAAAACGCTGGCACACTGGTGGGCAAAAGCTTCCACTATTTCTTGAAGAGACGTTAAAATTTTATCATAACTAGTTATCACTCCCGGTATATTGCTAGTGTTTTTTTTTGTGTTAATCATATTCCAAAATTTTTTAGGATCTTGTTTGATTGAATTTTCCGAATCTTTGATAAAGTTTGCATATTCTATGCGAATTTGATACTTAATTTTGCTTCTCAGTTCCTTATATTTGTCTAAATGGTACAATAATTTTGATTTCCTATAATGATTCCAATGTTTCCTTTTCACTTTTATAAGATCCATAACGTTTTTAGTAAACCATTTTGGATAGGTTCCTCTGGAAACTGTTCTGTACAATGGCACATGTTTTAGAAAGATATCATTTATTACTTGGTAAAAATTATCGCACGCATCATCAACCTCATCACAATTTTGAACACATGACCAATCTGCCGACGATAATTCATTATAGAGATTAAGTAAATTCGCTGTACGGAAATTGAAGACTAATTTATCTTTTTTAAGAAAATTCCTTTGAATTCTTTTTTTTTCGTAGGTTAATACTGATATCAAGGCAAGGATGGTGATGATCTTCCGAAATTAGCGGGTCTTCATGCTTTTTTATTTCACTTGCAATATCACTTGTAGCAATTATTAAATCAAGAATTCTGCCTCTTCTATTTAGTACATTGTTATGCTGACTGAGATTATTTAGAGACAAAAAATGGTTGTAAATGTTAAATAAGTACGTAGACCGTTCTTCTGTTAAGCAGTCATTAAGTTCTGTTATATTAAAATCACCGGTCAGCAGCACAGGATTGGTAAGATCAAGATTGGTTTCCAGATATTCAAAAAGTTGCAAGTATACTGTACAAGCAGAACCTGGAGGAATATACACAACTACTACAGTCCATTGCATGTCTTCTATAAATAATTTGACTCCTACTAACTCTATATTGTCCACAGAGTTGCGTAAATTAAGATTTTTTGATTTAATTTTGTTATTGACTCCGATCAAAACACCACCTCCCCTTTGTTTTCCCTGTCACATCTATATAAACATTGAAATGACTTGGAAAAATTTCATTAGAACAGACATCTGCACGCAGCCAAGTTTCTGTTAGTAAAATAATATCTGCATCCGTTGCACAAACATTTAAATAAAAATCACAAATTTTTTTATTTAATCCCCTGGTGTTCTGATATACTATATTAAAGCGATAAAAATTATTGTCTGTTGTCTGCTGGGAAACTACTTGTTTTTTACTGCAATAATTTTGGGCATTCCATTGTAGTATTTAAGTTTGATATTTTTCTCACCATTTTGAACACGATTCTTAAATTCTTGACGGACAGAATATGACTTCTCTTGTTGTAGCTGCGTCAGATCTCTATTCAGATATATATTACTAGTGAACTTATAATTTCGCAGTATTTTCTGAGCAACTTCAGGGGTTGGTAAAATAACTTTGATAAGACGATTTTTTGAAGGCAATTGCTTCCCGAGACGAAACACTTTTACTATTTCTGTCGAAATTCCAGTACCTACAATGATTTCTTTTACTTTGTTAAGATCATCGACAATTTGTTCTTCAACATTTGCAGATTGAGACTCAGGTATGTTGCTAATAACAATGTTAGTAGCCCGCCTTTGCCTTTCATCAATTTCATCCAGTAATTGATCGTCCGTTAAACCTGACCGATTGATAACATTCTCCGTTTTTTCTCCACCTTGACTACTTATCGATGTTTTCAATTCCTCTAATTCTTTTTTCAACAATATTATTTCGTTGTTCAAATTACCAATGAAGTCCATAATGTTACATTTATTGCAGAAAAAGTTTAGCTTACATTTAGGATTCTTTACACAGGTAATTTCTTGTTTGGTTAAACCGGAACAATCTCCATGATAGGCAGTTTTACATATGCCATAAATATCACGTTCCTACGTTCTAGTAAGATTATTTTCACAAAGGGCACAAGGTTGTGACATCGTTGAACCAAACAGAACAAAAATTATCACTATTTATTATTATAACTTTCTCAATTTATAGAGAAGAGCGTCCAAGCGTATCACCAACACACATGACACACTGTTTTATATATTGCTCTGTCTGAAATTAATTGGGCTTATCTTTCGCAATGTTCTGACATAAATGATGCTGTCTCCATTATGTATAAAACCTTGAATCGTGTCTTTGAAATGTACGTGCCTAAGAAGAAAACCACCAAATATCAATACCCTCCGTAGTTTAGTGGTAGTATAATCCAGAATTTAAAGCGGAAACATAAGGCTTGGAAATATTATTAAGACTGGATCAAGAGATGATTATGAATTATTTCAATCTTACGGCCCCATGCTAAATCAGAAATATATCATGCTTATAAATCCTATGTCAATATCACCAATAGTAATTTAAAATCAGACCCTAAGAAATTTTGATTTTTTATAAAATCAAAAACTGACTCGGGTAAGATTCCTTCTGGCATGATTTACGATGGTTTTGAACTTAATAAACCACAGGCTATTGTTGACGGTTTCGCTGACTACTTTTCAAAATCCTTCACTCCCAATAATGGGCAGCGAATCTATTCTTCCCCAAATCTGATCAGGAATACCCTTTACATTAAGTCTGTGTCCGAATCGGAAGTTTTAACCGCTATTAAAGAGTTAAAACCTACTATGGCATGTGGCCCTGATCAGATACCTGCCTTTATTATCAGGGATTGCATGTATGTCTTTTGCCAGCCACTAAGCATTATATATAATTTACTCCTAAAAACCAATGTATTTCCCAGTCAATGGAAGATTTCTCAGATCTGTCCTGTATATAAAAAAGGTAATAAAACGGATTTGAAAAATTATCGTCCCGTTGCTCATATTTCCAACTTTGCTAAGATCTTTGAAACTCCTCTACATGCTCCTCTTTACCGCCATACAATACAAGGATTGAGTCAATATAAGCATGGGTTCATGGAAGCACGATCGACTGAAACTGATTTAGTTTCAATAACTCAGATCCCCTGTCAGCAGGTTGACGTTATCTATACCGTCTTTTCAAACGCGTTTGACCGCGTTGTTGTGCAAACTGGAACATTTCGGTTTTTCAGACAACATTAGCAAGTTATTTAGGTCATATTTACATGATAGGTACTCATTTGTCTATGTCAGGTGTTTCAAATCCAAAAGTTTCAAACAGGAGACCGGTGTCTCTTAGGGATCCATATTGGGTCCCCTGCTCTTTCACATCTTTATTGATGATGTTTCAGATGTTCTGGACGTTTCTTATCTCCTGTTTGTAGATGATTTTAAGATCTACAGTATAATTAATTCGACTGCTGACTCTTTGAAATTACAAAGAAACTTAGACGCTGTGGATAACTGGTGCTCTAAAAACAACTTTTATCTCAATTCTGACAAATGTAAAGTGATGACATTCACTTGCAAAAGTAAAACTATATCCTATGACTACCACATACTAGGCGTCGTTCTTGTTAAACTTCCAACTATTCGTAATTAGTCTGATGGAAATAATAATATAATTAATATATTGACTGATAATCCTTGAAATTTCCAGACCGATTCATTAAAATTTACATATACAGACGTAAAAATGGTAAAATGTTAACCAAAGCATATTAGTATCTGTTTCTTACATTAAAAGGAAACTGATAATGTGGTATTAAAATATTATAGGTCTGGACGTGAAATTTTAGATTTTCAGATTTAACGAGATATAAATCCTCTTGATGATATTTAGGCTCGTTTGCACCGCACTTTTAATTACATGATTAACGTTATGTTTTACTTAATTTGACAGATGCAAGCAAATCCAAATTAAGTGAAACACAACGTTCGTCAGGTTATTAAAAGTACAATGAAAACGGGCATACTTTTACGTTTTGCAAATTACAAACAAACCAAAATGTAGGATAAACTATTTTTTCAACTTTATTCATGTATAAATCCTCAAACCATACATTGCGAATCATTTCTAACACTCAAACTAAATTTAATCTTATGTTTTAAATTTCACCAATTTTAGGAGCGAAGTAGCAATTCCATCAAGTTCACATATATGAAATTAACTTATAAAATATAAGCAAGAATTTCTTTTGAGCCATTTCCTGAACGAGCAAACAAACATGAAAAAGCTTCCTTTTTCTTTTAAGGGTAAAATAACATAAAAACCTGTAAACAAATATACTAGCTAATAAAATTTTAAAATGTATTGAAAATACAAAGTACACTTGACTTTCTAATATACGCAATGAAAACAACGGAGAATCTTTTGTAAAAGCTTTATTTAATATTAAAAACAAATACAAAAAAAACCTCACTTACTCGCACGTTTACGGAAATTAAAAATTTTACAATATTTTTTAATCAAATTTAAATTTTTTACAGCTACAACGGAACCGTGACGGTAGTAGTCGACGTAGTGGTTGTCTGAAACGCATTCTTTAGAATCTCATTGATGAGCGACTCCACCGTAGGACTCAAAACTTGTGAAATTAACTCTTGGTTTGAGTCTATCAAGTCGACTACCATTTCATTCAAAACTGTTTCAATGAGCTCACTGAAATCTTCGTTGTCATACAAACCATGAAGCTCAAACTAAAAGCGAGAGTCAATAATCATAGCTATTACAATTCTATTTTCTCTACTCACCGTGCCATTACCTACGTAAATCTGCATATTCAGATTTTCCACCGATATTCCGCCAGTCAGATTAACTTGCGCGCTCACGTCAATCACTACGTCCCCGAAATTCACCCTTGTGTTGTAATAAGCCATAATTACTACATTACGAATAAAAAGAATATTTAGCTATATTACGATGAGTTTCCAGTTCCGAAGATGAGGAGAGGGGAACCAGCTACGAGCAGATCTGCCCTATAGTCTGTAAACAAATCGATTTCTGGAAAGACTAAGGTAAGGTTTAACATCATTCCGATAATCTCGAAACTTAGGGACGGGATTTGGAAGCCCTGAAGTCCGTGCATGTTTAAGTTGGAGAGGGTGGCATTGCCGCTGCAATTAACAGCATTATGTTCATTAGAAATAGTCATTTTTAGATAAAAGATAGTTTAAATAAAAGTATTATTATTATTATTATATTATATTTCTTTCTATTTGAAAAATAAATACTTTGTCAAGGGCAATTTATACAATTTTAATTTATCGATAGTGGTTTTTACGTTTAGGCTAATTAGTGTTATAAACAAATTGTTTTAATATTTAAGTGGTAAGCTTATGGTGTGACAAAATTATAATAATAAACTTATTTAGATTAATGTATGAAGAGGATCTGCATAGAGTTTGTTATAGCAATCAGAATAATAGTATTACACTGCGGTACACCATTTTCCTACATTATTTTATCAGCACATTTTGACCTAGGTTATTGTCCTAAAAGACCGTACAATCCGTTTTTGGTGATCCAGTGTTGCCTGTAGATACAGTGTGTATATGAGTCGATATAATTGTAAGCAACCAAATTCAGATATTGTGCAGGAAATAAAATAGTAGCTTGTAATTTTATTGCAGCTGCCATTTTGAATAAATGCTTAATGATGTTAGTTGAGATTGCATTATTTTCTATTCAGTTGAAGAATTATTTTGGTACGAATAAAATTTTACTTTATTTAAATTCTTATAATTAAAAAATGTTATGTGCGTAAAAGCAAGCTTTATTGCTTTTCTGCCTGTGGAGATTCTGTGTTTGTAATTTACATTATTTATATTGTTATTACAATTAAGTATTACCCAATTTATTAATTTCAACTTAATAATTATTGTAGTTCTCTTTGCGCACTGACATTAATGTGAATTTATCAGATAATATTTCTTTCTACATTACATCCATTGTAGGCTTTCTTCTTCTGAAAGCACTATATTATCACTCCATTATTTTTAAAAAATTTTATCTCCTTCTCTACCTTATCGGTAACATACCATCTAGTTTTTTTCTCTCTTAATTTTGACGAATGTAAAATATACAGCAAAGCTTCTTCTTTATAACCAAATTTTATATATGTATGTGAACTGAACTTACGATGATCACTAACGTTCTATAGTTCCTACTATTCTACTATGTTTCTAATTTTGTACAGATCAATATAATCGTCAAGCAGACTGACAATTTGTATCATCTTCGAAATATTAAGAAAAACATAGCTCTACGGTTATTAAGACACAACTTTCTTCGCCTCTGAAGTAACAGATCCAGCTTTTTCGAAAAATTATACGTAAGTCATTTTGTAGTGTTAAAGTTAAGGTAAAAATGCATGCATATGTTGCAAGTGAGTTTTTCCATTGTATGAAGAATGTAGTAGTTTCGGCGATTATTTATCTAATAAAAATCTACACCGACATACAACAAACAGACAGACGGAAAAGAACGACCTCCTTCTTCATACTTGGGATAATGAACGGAGCGATTCACCGGAAGTATATTTTTACTATAGCACTTAAAAAAAATGGCCGAAAGTTATTTCGACAGGACTTCCTTCGCCCCCGAAGTGCAGTGTCACAAATCCCGCTTCTTTAAAAAATAAAATAAAATTGATTTTGCGAATTCGTTTTCAATAAAACAAATCCAAGAGTACCTATTTTATAAAATTTATTATAAACATTTTTGAGATGTCGCGAAATTGATAGAGAGATTGGGCAAATTTTGATTAGCGTTTTACCATCTACACAATATTCTTAACATACATATAAAATACAATCGGTCCGGTAGTTTTGGAGCTTATCAAAAATTTACCATGCCTATGATAATTTTAAAACATCTCCAAGATTTTAAACCATTCGGTTTTGTAGTTACCGATTAAATCAATAAAATAAATTTACGCATTCAATAAATTTTTTGAGTCACCTTGTATACGCAAATCCAAAAAATATGAAAGGAATGATAAATCACAAGTACAGACTCATCATGTTTTGCGCATTTTATATAGGATTTATTCAGCAAAATTTTGGGGTAGCGTTTTCAATTTTTTAGGAGGGATGAGCAAATACATTTTGATCAAAAATTTACCATGCTTGCGACAAATTTAAAACATCTCCAAAATTTCAAAGCATTTGGTTTTGTAGTTTCTGATTAAATCAATAAAATAAATTCATAAATTCACGCATTCATTAATTTTTTTCAGTGACCCTGTATATCCAAATCAAAAAAATATGAATGGAGTACTAAATCACCAGTACAGACTCATCGCATTTTGTACATTTTAGATAGGATTTATTCGGCAAACTTTTGAGCTGACGTCGTCAATTTTTTGGAGGGGATAAGTAAATATATTTTGATTAAAATATTATAATGCTTATCATAGGTGTAAACAGTCTGCAAGATTTCACAGCATTCAGTTTTGCAAATTCCAAATTAAATTCGAAAATGTTGTTTCATAATTTCGATTTTTTTTCCAAAAATCTGGACGTTTCAGTAAAAATTCAATTCGGAGTCATAAACTACATTTTATAGAACTTAAAACCCATTTACTATTTGAAGCGACGTCATCAGATTATTTGTGGGGATGATTAGGCAAATTTTGGTTAGCGTTTTACCATTTACATGATATTCCTACTATAAATACAAAATTTGGCAACAATCGGCCCAGTACTTTCGGAGATTATCTATTTAGTAAAAATCCAGGACGGCAGACACACGGACAGACAAGCGGACTGACAGACTGTTAGACAGACGGAAACGGGAGACCTGTTTCTTCGTCCTCTAGGGGTCATGAAAGGTCGAGAAAATGTAAAGTAGCATGTCGGTCGACGGACTCGATTACAATACTTCCTCTTCTTACACTCGGGAAGTAAAAATTAGAAAATTTAATACCATTTTATGAATCAAAAAATAATTTTGGAGAAAGATAGCTGGGACCCCGTACACAATTTTTTATGACATAGCCTCTAGTATATTTTGGTATCTACTGAGTTTTAGAAAATAATAAAATGTCATTAATTTACAAATTTAAGTTCTTTCCTCCCGAGTGTAAGCTAAGGAAGTAGAAAGAATCCATCGGCCGACTGATTACTTTCAAATTTTCTCGATATTTCAGGACCTCCATGGTACGAAAAAGTGGGTCTCCCGTTTCCCTTCGTCTGTCCACCGTCTGTGTCGATTTTTTTAGAGACTACTGAACCCATTGTTTTATCTTAAAACTGTGTTATGATTATGAAAATCATGTACATAGTAAAACGCTAACCAAAATTTCAATCATCCCCACCAACAATGTAATGACGTCACATCAAAACTGTACATAGTAAATGGCTTGCAAATTATATAAAATAACATATTCCCTCACTTGTAGTTTACGAATGTGTGTTGAGTTTTACCCGATTTAAAAAAAAGTCAGTATTTTATAAGGATATTTTGTAATTTAAATTTTAATCTGCAACCTAAATGTTCTGAAATTTTAATAATAATAATAATGACAATAAGGTTTTAGTCCTAACAGGTTTACACTCAACAACAAGAAAACCTAAAAGTTATCCTCAAATCAACCGGAGACAATAAATAAATAACATGCAGTTCCAAAATCAGTGAACTTAAGTGTAACAAAGTATTAAAATAATAATAGTAGCTCCCACAAAACTACAAACTATGAATCTTACTACTCACTGGGACAAAGAAGGACTTGATTACAACCGATAGCGAATCGTAATGTATATCGCAATTAACAGATATTATATATTGTGGACTATAAAAAGTTTGAGATTGGGGTGAATTAATACGAGGTACGACCAAGTTAAATTTGTCCAGAAGATTCGGACAATCTACTTAGTTGTTAAATAAATTAGAAACAAATTTTAGGAACAATAATATTGCGCCGATCCTGGAGAGCTGGAAATTCAAACCTACTCAATAGTGCAGCATGATCACAACCCCTTTCAGGATATACTTTATCCACACAATAACACGAAAATTTTAGAAATTTACGTTGAACAGCTTCAATATCATTAACATGCACATCATATAAGGAACACCAAATTATAGCACCATATATCCTAAAAGATTTTGCTATTACATCATCTGTATGTTTCGCAAAACTGAGTTTAGAGTCCAACGTAATGCCTAAATCTTTAAAATTGACACAACGATGTAACTCAATATTGGCTATGGTATAACAAAACATGAAGTTTTATTGTATAGGACACAACGAAACATTTGTCTTGGTTAAGAGATAATCGATTACGAATGCACTATTGCAGAATAATCTGAGTATTAGTTTGATGAGTCATGCTATCGTTAATATTTTTAATCTTCCTAAACAACTTGAGGTCATCCGCATATAAAAGTTTCTCGCATGACAGACCATTAACAATATCATTAACAAGCAGAAGAAATAATAATGGACCTAAGTTCGATCCTTGTGGCACACTCAAGGTAGGAGAAAGTGGTTGTTAATAAAAGTTACGATATTTAACGATCAGGGGAGCGGAAAAGCCCAACTGTTGTAATTTAGCAATCAAGATATAATGATCAAGTGACTCATTAAATCTTGTAGACCCTTAAGGTTATCGTGAGCATGCCAAATTTTTAACCAAAATAAATTTGTTTATGCCCTCTAAAAAATTGATGACGTTACCTCAAAATTTTACCGAATAAATCCTATCTAAGATATGCAAAATATGATCCTTATGGTCATCAGTTACCACTGTATTGATATTTTTTAGAACTGCTTATACAGAGTGACTGAAAAAAATTAATGAGCCAATTAATATACGTGTCTTTGCAAAAATATCGAAAGGCAAATCTCATTTGAAACATTGAAACAGCATACATTTACTTTAACATTACATACATATTTTTATATTCACTTGTTGAGGTTCTCTCTCATAAAAAAATAAAACTCAAAAAATAAAATTTTATAATTTTTCGAAAAAGCTGGATGTTTTATTGTACTTCAGAGGCGAGGAAAATTATATCGAAATAAACTTCGACCAATTTTTTGTGTTATGTTATTTAACACTACTTTATGAACATAATTTTAAAATATCATGTTTTACAATGAAAAATAAATAATTCAAAATTTTTTATTGGAACTACTTGGCACCCCATAAAGAAAATTGAGAAGGAACACCTAATTAAGACACTATAATTCTTCCAATGCATAGTCAAATATACTAAAATATTATATTTATATTTTTTGCCTCTAAGTAACTGTAACATCTTACACGTAACATCAGACAAATGAAGTCAGTTAAGTCTGAAATTGTGGCTCAAAATACCAATTTTGGTCATCCACATACTATTTAAAATTGTGAACCCGCGAACTTAAAAACTCACGGGATTTTCATACAAATTTTCATCCTTTTAGTCCCTTGGTGGTAGAATTTCCCAAACTTATTTCATATTAGGTGCTTATATTACAAAAGGAACCTACTGTGCAAATTTTATGTTTCTATAGTGTATTTCAAAACTCCGTTCGCCTAAGCCATAAACCATCCCAAACATTGGCAGATTCCGGGGTTTCTCAACCGTTACTTAGTTGAGAGATGGTAATTCTCAAAAATCACTACCGCAATGGAGCAAACGATTCGTTTTGTTTTATTAATTGTAAATAATAAAGAAATAGGTTACCTTTAAAAAAATGCTATTTCAGTTCCTCTTGTACATCTACATGCAGTAATTCAATATTTGCGCTGAGTGAATTGCTGGTTTTCTTTCTTCAACTCATTTGCCCTATACTAAAAGATAAGGACACACTGAGATTCAACGTTTACATGCGAAAAGAAGGGAACAGATTGCTCTTTAACAGAAGAAACGCGGTAAAAGTCTACTTACCGGGTGATAATTGTTGATTTACAATCATCCCGGTTTATAGGTTAGTTAGTTAGTAGTTTTATTTTTTAGTAAGATACGAAGCATTTAGGTAACGAGACATACAGATCCGTGTGTTATTTGTCGTAAGTCTTTGGGCATTTAGTAAAGTCCAAAAGTGAGAGGCGGAACATTCCCATTATCTACTTCGACCCTATAAACATTTATAAAAACCCCGTGGCTTCAGTAGTTTAAGCTCTGTGTTTATGAATCGGTCAGTCTGTCACTTAGTCAGTCAGGACACTTTTATTGCTACAGATTGCAGAAGATGTAGTCTAATGGAAAACATAATCAGCTTCTTGCTTCCCATGCGCAAGCGAAGGATTGTAATAGGAAGCCTAAAACGTATGACTACTTTCATGTTTTCTAGACGTTTCTAGGGATTAGAGTAAGAAAAAAATAGGTCTAGCGTTTCCGTCTATCTATATGTCGTCTGCCGTCTATATATGTACCGTTTTTAGTCAAGAGGTAATCTCCGAAACTAATGGGCGGATTGTTGTCAAATTTTATATGTGATTTAAGAATATTGTCAGGATGGTAAAATGCTAACCAATGCTAATTTGATAGCGTCCTCTTATCATTTTGCCTAGTAAAGGTTATCGAAACTTTATAATTATGAAATAATATATTCTTATAGTCACGGTTTATGAATCCACCTTGTTTTTGTTGTTTCTACGTGTTTCATCTTGGGTTAAATCACTTAGGTGGAGGATTGTCGGAGACGTCCTCTGCCCGTGTGGGTTCGATTCACCTCCTTATCGAGTATCTTTTACATTTTCGTAAAATAAATAGTTAACATTTGAATCAAATTTTATGATTTTTTAGAAAAAAATTCAATTTATTTGATTGCATTTAAGGGGGACGTAAGTTCGGTTTAAATAACCTTAATCAGTTTATGTGTTGTGTTGTGTTAATGATTCACTAGAAATTTCTTAATGAGGGTAATGAATAGTAACACACTTCATCACTTCACGTTTTGAATAATATATTATGTCAGTTATGGTGTCAACCCGATATTGTGTATTAGATGTAAACAATTAGTGTCGAAATTCAATTTACCTTATTAACCTCTGGAATTATTTACTATTCAAACTGAATCGGTTATAGAATTCAGCATGAGTATGCCATTGCCTAAAACGATATTCTCGATACTAAGTACTCTCTCTATGGTAAATTATTAATTTTGGGTAACATAGTGACCCAACGTGGGTAGTCTGTTGTGTTGGATTTAAGCCTGTGCTTTACTGAAACCTCCTTGCCTAACAAAATTTCCTGGTTTGGTTAGTCGTGTTTTTGAAGCGGTCATAGATATGTTGTAGCAAACTTTCTGAACGATATAGTTATTTGTATTAGAAGGCTAGAAACTTTTGGGAATAAGAGCGAGTTTGCCAAAAAAAGAGTATTCGCAAAGACAGTTTCTGATAAGGTTAGTCTCATATATTTTATAGTTTCCAAACTAGCGAAACAAAAAAAAAATGTTTTTGTAAGGTACTACTACTACTGCCTTGTGCTTTGAAAAACTTATTGACTTATCTATTGATTGTTTATGATTATACGTCCTTACATTACTGCTTACACTTCTAATCTTAAAGGTATTTGTATTTTTTGTATAATTAGTTAGACAAAATAAAATATATAATTATATGTATTATACACTAAAACCTACTGAATTTTGAAAACTTTACCATTTAACATGGAATTTCCATGATAAATATATCCTTGATCTCAAAAACGGACATCAGTCTTGGTTTCAGTTTTTACTAATATTTTAAACTAACTCTGTCTAAAAATATAACTACATCGTTCGAATTTGGCTAAATTATATAACTTACTTTAAAATGGCGCCTTCTTCATCCACAAAAGTAAGATCCAAGGTCTCAATTTCTAATGGTTCAGGAATGTCTGGCCTTACACCTTCAATTGTACTATTAATTAAATCTTCAAAAACGTACGGTTCAATTAGTACGTTATCTGTAGTAAAATAAAATAAAATTGACGGGTTTTATTCACGCACCAAAGAAACAGTTTCAGCTTACCTTTGTTAACGTCGTATTCGATAAAGTTAGCAAATGACAAATTAACAAAAACCGCTACAATCAAAATGTGAAACATTGTAAACAGTTGTATATGTTGTAATCTAATTATGCGTCTCGTTCTGTATATCTTAGACACCTGTTACACAGAACTATCGGTTTTTATTCAGTGATGTTGACCTTTGCGCTTTTTGTTTATAAGAACAACAAATTGTAAGGACTCATTTATCTTTGTCTCTCTTTTTTGTTACAGTTAATATTTTTTATGAAGTATCTTATAGATAATTTTTTAATAGGCTCGAAATGACATTTTATCTGATTAATAACTCATTAGTCATTATACATATAAGTCACTTTTTCTTTATTTCACAAAAACACAGAAAATACATTTCTACTTTATCCCTACAGGAGTAGTCTCGGGAGCTACAGTTGTAGTCGCAGACATACTTGCCAGAATTTCATTAATAAGAGTCTCAGCAATGGGACTAATAACTTCCGATATCAGTTCTTGATTCTCATCGATTAAGTTAACTGCTAAGTCATTAAGTATGTCGGACAGAAGCTCACTTAAATCTTCATCGTCAAGCAAACCGTGAATGTCAAACTGGAAGCAAAAAGTCATACACTTCTCAATAACTGTCTAGATTAACCTACCGTAGCATTTTGCAACGAAACCGTTAGCCGTAGATTTTCGACTTGTATCCCTCCGGTGAGGTTAGCTTGACCACTTCCGTCAATTGACAGTCCGTCAAGATGAACCCTGACATACATTTTGAAATTAACATTAAACTATCACTAAACCTAAACTTCATCTTACGTAATATTTCCGACTCCCCAAATAGCCAGAGTGTCAGCAATAAGCAAATCTAGGTCGAAGTCAGTAAATAAATCAAGTACCGGTAGGTCAATTGTAAAGTTTAGAGTCATTCCTATAATAGCGAAATTTAAAGCTGACACCTGGAAGCCTTGAAGTCCAGCTAGATCTAAGTTACTGATGGTGCCATTGCCTCTGTAAAACGCTCCTGTTAGTATCGTTTTTTCGAACCTGATTGTTTATGATTATTTTACACAATAACTGCGTCTTCTTCGGCAGGAAGTGAAATTTCGTAAGTGTCAATCAGAAGGGGATCTGGGATGTCGGGTCTGTAGCCTTCGATAGTGCTGTTAATAATATCTTCAAAAACGTAGGGATCGATCGACGTCTCTAAAATATATTTTCACTCACTTTAAGTTTTACCTTATTTTAACAAAACTTGCCAATGATGTCTTGGTTCACCCTGCTGCAAAACGCACCAGCGAAAAGAACCGTTAAAAAAATTATTTGCTTCATTTTGGGAACGGTGTGTATTTGAAAGTGCGAGAAGTAAGTACACTATTTACAATTACCTATATAAAATCGGTACCAAATTTAATGTACACTTTTTATAGCACGGTTCTTATCTGTGAATATTGTTTTATTGTTATCAAGACAATCACTTGTGTCAGTGAGTTAATTAAAATTGTGTAGAAGATTAGAACTGTTCACTGGTTGGTTTGTGGAATACACATTTTTATTTAATTTGTTTTTTTATTTATAAGTTGTGTTTAGTGCGCAGTAATAGTGGCTTCCTTCCAGTATATAATCCAATCAAGCATCTTAAAAAGTTTAATAATTCCGTTTAAAGGAATGATATTTGTTTCAAATCTTAAATTTATTTAACTTTGATCCTCAAATACACAAGTTGATAATGTTTCTAATGATACGTTACTCACCTGTATTACAACTTTAAAAGCACATTTTAACCAATTTTAACTTACAAAAACTCGAATTGATTCGAAATACAGTTGTTGTTGCGAAAATTCGAACCTCAAATATTTCGTGGTTAGTGTCAAACCAACCCATCACCAACCACGACAAAATTCCCCAGATTTAAAAAAAGGCAAATTTCAATTAAATTTTGCGAAAAAACGTGCGCGGTAGAAAAAATAGTATAAATTACTCGTTCATAAGGCCATTGTGACACTTATCCTTTGTATAACTAGTGGCTTCGCCGCTTGTTCTATAAACTTGGATTCGTGCCTCAATATTTGCCTTATGAAACTCGTTCTTTAATATACTCTTATAGTCTTAAAATGAACTTGAATTTAGTAAAATAGTCAAATAAAATAATCTAATAAACTCCTGATAACAGTATTTACTAAAAATTGAGTTATTATTATAAAAAATGTTAATGTAACGTAAATGATATGATCGACAAAGATCGTCTTCTAATTGGCAATGAACTGTTCTATTAATAAATAATGGACACACTTTAATCTTGATACATGAAACTAAGCAGACACAAAAATTTGGTAGCGAAACCAAAAAAAAGTGATTCAACTATCTGTTTTATCAAGATAACGCGTTGAATTCAATTCGTAGGCTTCAGATTTTAAGTCGTTAAAAATGAATAAAAGGAGACACTTTTAGGTCCCATAATTGACGAATTAGGTTATAAAAATCTTAGTTTAGGTTAAAAAATGGTAAAAAATGTTTCCTTCAAAAAAAAGGAACACACAGTTTCAAAATGTTGTTAAATGTTTGCTGTAATGGGAAAGCAATCAAATAATAAAAAAAAATGGAAATATAAATGAGTAAAATGATTTAGTAATCAAACAGGTACATATAAGTAGATACTGATTTCGATATATCCATATCAAAATATTTACAACAACCTAGCAAAAAAATAAAAAATAAAAAAATGTCCAAACTTGAAACCGATTTTTGAATCAAAAATTTTTTTTCGCCAGGCAAGTTTTCACTTCCAAGATACCAAAACTATCGATGTCCTTCTGAACTATACCCCTCTTAAAATAGATAATTTCTAAAAATTTAAAGAAGTCTTTACTATGACTTTTAACATAAATATGTTTCTATTCCTGATATGTAACTGAAATAAAATGTACACAAATTTTTATTATTTTTATTCCAGCATTCTAGTTAGTACCTGCTGCAAAAATATTCTAAGCAGAAGTTGTCACTTTGACAATGTATAATTATATTTTTATCTCCAACATCAAGATCAAAGTTCCTTAATTAATTATCTCTTATTGAATTGTTTTATCGCACTTAGTTTAAACATACTCACCAAATCGAGTGCCTGCATCAAGTGAAAGATATCGTAAAAAGTCAGGTGTACAACAGGTGTTTTATCACCATTCGAGATAAATAAATTCTGAAGATCATTGTTTTCAGTGAACCTTGACACTATTTTGGTGCTGACCAAGATAACTAAGAGTGTCACTTCTGACCTGACGTATTAAATAATAACAATGGTCATTCTTTATTCTACCATAGATCAATATGTCATGATTATATTATAACAACAACGTTATAATATAGCTCGACTTTGCACAGCATTAACTGTAAATAAGGTCCTAATTTAGTTAATGTGTTTTGGTACGGCGTCAATGACGACGATATTACTTTAATAGAGCCAAAGAGGTCATCAGTATTAAGTTTACCTTTTATTTTTCTGGTTGTTGAAAAAATCACCTCTGAAACATCCGATCATCAGAAACGTTGTAAACAGATATGTCACATTTTTATGGAAATTTCGTATTAATTTCAGGTTGGCAATATGGATTAAAAAAGTTTATAATTATAAATATTTAATGAGATAAATTTTAAATTTCAACTGGAAACCTGTATATTTGCATTACGCGCAAAGAAACATGAAACATTCGTTAAAACGAAACTGCTCACTTCACCACTGTAGAAATAAAAATATATAAAACTAACATCTGTGAACACTTTCTGAACGTAGAAGTTTAACCCAATATTTAAAATATCGTGTTGTACCTTTGTAGAGTAAAGTACATGCTCTGAAATTTTATATCAGTAGCTGCAAAAGGAACACCACAAAGGTTACACCATGTTAAGATGCCAAAGATGCAAGTGTTTCTAATCCATAAAGGTGCACCCGTTTTAAGTTCGATGAAATCCGAAGAACGTCGCACGGTTTTTGCTTTTATTGTTTCTGAAAACTGAGGAGTCGAGAAGCCGCAACTTGAAAATGTTTGCTAAATAGGAAATTGTATACCTCTCACCACACTCAGATCCTTATCGACGCGTACAACTTTCTTGAATTTCTTTTATCAAGTTTTAAAACAAATTACTTTCCGATGATCATATGGCGAAATGTTGTTTTCAAGCAATTTTACAGTTCCGGAAAAGTTGGATGTTCCGGGAAAGAACGGTCGTTTTCTTAATGTGATGGTTGAAAATAACCTCTGACTAAATTTTGAAGCCAGGAGCTTGATAATATTCACCTACAGCACAAAAGGCATAATGAGTAAATTTTAATTCTCAGTATGTAACATGTTTCACATTTTATCTAATTCAAATTCATGCTGCACGTTTGAAAGTTTTTTACTGAGTGAAAATATGTATTATTTTACCATATCAAGATATTGAAACAACTTTCAATAATTAAAAAACGAGCTTGCTATCATACAATGTAAATCCTTATCGCCAGATTAAATATTATTAAATAAATAAAATAAATTAAATATTTATGCTCTTAGAATAAAGTAAGTATGACACTGATAATACGGGTTCCAAATGATACAAATCTATTCTAATAACCTAATAAAGTCGAAAACAAAGTTTTCAGACAGTCAATATTCGTGAAACTACTAGCATTCTTAAAACTAAATCCTAATAGTTTATAATAAGTAATCGGATGCAACATTAAAACGGTTTGTAAATCATACTGTTGAGTCAAAAATAATGCCTAAATCCTTTTTGTTTATAGCGCACTTGTCAAAAGTTTGGTGTACACCCTTGAATAAAAATCGTTTCAGTATATCATTATTACAAATACGAAACAGTAATGGGACTAAATTAAACCCTTGCATAACATCAGTTGTAGCTCTATATGAGAACGATCCCTTTTTTTTTAAATTCAAGATATTGTCTGTTTTCCAACACAGATATGAATAAGTTATGAAGGTTGTTACTAAGGCATTAGAAATAAATTAAGTAAAAAAGGAATGTTTGTGCTAATCGACCGACAAGAAAATTTGAAAAATTATCTTCATAGTAATAATAATATTAGTATGCTATTCAACGCAGCGAAAATTTTTGCAGCAACGAACATTATACCTTACAATTCTGAAACCTTGCAACCGTTTTAAGGTTATCGTTAACATGGTAACATAACATTATCTAAAAATTTCTATAGACAAATCTTATCTGAAACATGCAAAATTTGTGCGTTTATATTTGTAGTTTATCAGTGCACACGCTAATAGTGTACAGATTAAAAAAAATCATAATTGTTTAATAAAATCTTAGGATTTATCTTAGAAACTGCAAGTTATTTGAAATTTACTGCATATTTTTTTATTTTTATCAACGTGATAAATAGCTAACGAGATTTGTCGTCCAGCCCTATCAGACAGTTGATGGAAATATCCACTAGTGAGTTTCTAAGTAAAATGATCTATAACTAATATATTCATTAGAGAAAAACGTCCTAGGGACATTCTTTCAATATCCCTAGAATGTAATACTGTCCTGATTTTGATATCTCCTTAGTATCCATTCTCGTTTTTATATGATGTTATAACATATTCTTTGAATCTTTTTACTCCCCGAGCGCGCCAGAGAGGATTGTAATCTGGCGAACGGTTACTTTAATGTTTTCCCGTTTTTGTCTGTATGTCGTCTATCTGTCTATCTGTATGTCTGTCTGTAGGTATATTGGTGATATGATTAGACATATAATATATATATATAAACGCCGAAACTATTCGATTAATTGTTATAAAATTTTATATATATTTTTAGGAATATTTTGTAGATGGTAAAACAGTAAACAAAATTTCTTTCATCGTCCGCACTAAAATCTGATGACGTAAATTTTATATACTCATTCACATTTTTTAGAGAAAAAAAATCAAAATTCTAAGATTTTACAATTTCAACTAGGTTACCAGAATTATGGTAAATCCTTATTCAAAATTTAGCTGTTCATCCTCCCCAAAAACTGGATCAATCCCACCTACAATATACAATTTATTATGAGTCTAGACGTATGGTTTATCACTGGATTCATGTCTTTTTTAGAATTGTTTATAACTGGTGACTCATTTTTTTTATGAGGCATGTCCATAATTTTTAAGACCTGTGATAAATTTAAAATTTAGCCTTAAACTATGATCGTCAACAATATAGAACCCTATGTTGTGTTTTTTCTATTCAGCGGAATGCATTCAATTGCAAAAAAAATCCTGTGGTTGAAAAAGTGCCCTTAAATCAAAATGCAAAACATGTAGGGCAAATTGTTTATTCCCCCCCTCTATAAAAAGAAAAAACTGGTGAAATAAGATAGGCGGAACCTACTTCCCAGCTGTAAAAACTTCTCCAGCTTTCAAAAATGAAATCAAATAT